GCACTGGGGTCCACATATTCAGTACATAGGGGCTTGAACAGTTTTGGTTGAATTTAGATAAGTTTTGGTCACAAGGTGGCATACTTTAAACGTATTATTCACGCAAAGTTTTACGTCGAATAATCATTGTTGTTTGATTTGCATACTGGAAAGTGAAAAAATTAGTTGGAATGTAAAATGATGTTATATGGGAAATAGGCGTGGTTGTAATCCGATTTCGTCCATTTTCGTACTAAAACATAGAAATATGAGAAGAATATTCGACGAATATCGACTTCCAGTAAAAATCTCATGACATTTCATCTATTGGAAGTGAAGTTATTTCGTTTTAAGTGTCGGTATGTTTTTGTCATCGGTGCGAAAATGAGCTTCGAACAAAGAGCCAACATTAAATTTTGTTTTTAAATTGGTAAAACTTTTACCGAAACGTTTCAATTGATGCAACAAGTTTATGGCGATGATTGCCTATCCCGTAGCAGAGTGCACGAGTGGTTTCAACGTTTTCAAAGAGGTCGTGAGGACATAAATGAAAAATGAGCCGAAACCCAAAAAATCGCGCCTGGAGAAGTCAAAAGTGAAGACGATGCTGATTTGTTTTTATGATTCCAAGGGTATTGTCCACAAAAAATTTGTTCCACCCGGCCAAAACGTTAATGCGGTATTCTACCTTGGAGTTTTGAAGCGTTTGGTGCGCCGTATTCGACGTGTTCGGCCCGAATATCGCGAAGATGGAAGCTGGCGTTTTTTGCACGATATGCGCCGTCTCATCGATCGACGTTTGTGGCCGATTATTTGACCAAAAATCACATTTTAACAATCAACTACTCCCCGTATTCACCTGATATTGCACCGTGCCACTTCTACCTTTTCAGAAAAATGCATTGCCGTTGAAAAGAAAGCGTTATACAGACGTGGAGGCCATTTAAAAGGCTTGCACCGGCATACTGGCGGCCATACCGGGCAACGAGCTAAAACACTCGTTCGACATGGTTTTGGACCGTGCAAAAGCCTGTATTAAAGCAGAAGGAGACTATTTTGAATAAAATTAATTGATTTTGCCAATAAAACCATTTGTTCTGTCTTTTTTTTAAAAGTCCTGTTTACTTTGGAACGCACTTTTTATTATACTCTGTAGCAACAAGTTGCGAGAGTATAAAAACAAGAAAAAACGTTATATTCGGCTGCATCGAAGCTTTAATAGCATAAAACGGTATAAACAGATCTTAATCTTGATTTTTATCGATTATTTTGTATGGCAGCTATTTGCTACCGTACTTCGATCTGAACAATATGTTCGGGTACTATACCGATGCCTTATATATATAATATATACTAAATTTCGTGACTATACCTTGTGAAGTAAAACAGTGTAAAAATTTCAAGTCGACATTTTAGGTGTTACAAGGGTATAAAGAGTTGAAAACAAAAACTACAAGTCCAATTTGCTCTTTAAAAGAAAGGTAAAGTGAGTGAAGATAATTTATCAATGTTCCTTTAACTATCATAATTCATTTCCCAGATGCAATATAAGCATAAATAACACAGTTAGCGATAACATACCTGACATTGTCACATTTAATTCCAAATTTAAAAACAATCAAAAATTCCAAATAAAGTTCTAACGATCTAAACAACACCAATCCATCTTGTATGGAAGGGGCAGCATTCGATATATGAGGGTTGGCACGCAATTTCGTAGATTCATAGTACTGCAGGAAACAATGGTTCGTAAACTAAATGATTAAACCTAAGATAATGCTGAGAAGCCGCAAAAAATGCAGCTCTATGTTCTAAAAACCGCAAACCAACCATATTTAAGGTACAATTCAAAAGTTCCAGGACTTTTTAAACAACGCGGCTTCTAGTGGCGCCATCTGTCTGAAATTGTTATCCCTCAATTGTGTATTCTGCAGTGTTGTCGTATAAAATTTATATAACAACTGACTTGTATAACAGCTGAGATATCGCGCTACATGTGACATTACATTTGTAGTGTCGGTCGGAAAATGAGCATCGAACAAAGAGCCAACCTAAAGTTTTGTTTTAAACTTGGTAAAACTTTTAACCAAAACTCATCAAATGATAAAACAAGTTTATGGCGATGATTGTCTATCCCGTAGCCGTATTCACGAGTGGTTTAAACGTTTTCAAGAGGGACGGGAGGACTTGGAAGGCGACGAAAGTTCGGGCCGGCCAAAAGATGTTGTGAACGAAAAAAACACGGAAATTGTGCTTGAATTCATTAAAAAATAGCCGAAATCATCGCTTAAATATATGGAATCGGAATTATCAATATCCGCAGCGTCGATTTATCGTATTTTGACAGAAAATTTGGGCTTCAGAAAGGTTTGTGCTCGATTTGTCCTGCACACTTTGAAACAACACGAAAAAGACCTCAGAATCAGACAGATTTTTTGACCAAAAATCGCATTCATATCATCAACCATTCACCCTTTTCGCCTGATATGGCACCCTGCGATTTTTATTTGTTCGGAAAACTACATTTGGCCATGAAAGGAAACCGCTATGCTGACGTTGATGCCATACAAAAGGCGACGACCGCCATCCTCAACGCTAAACTGACAAATGACCTAAAAAAGTCATTCGATAACCTTCTTGAACGTGCAAAACGTTATATTCAGGCGGAAGGAGACTATTTTGAAGGCGACCAATAAATTTGCACCTTGTGAATAGTTATTACATAGTGTTAAAACAAACCTAAAAAAAATGTTGTGATAAAAGCTTTGTCGTGAAATTCGTTTGAAGTCTGCTTAAAAATTAAACATTGAGAGGGAGACTTGCGTAAAGAAAAAATCTATAAATTAACCAAATTCCAGGTGTATAAAGGAGCAGAGTTCTGCTCTGAAGAAGGCCAATAACTCAAACGGTATCTTACGGTCATTGTACCATTAACAAAATTTTAACAGGGAACGGAGTAAATAATAATTTGTATAAAGACAACAAAGAAATAGACGAGCTCGCCTCTACCGTCGCTGTTGTTAAAAGCATTGCCTGCTACTGCCCCAGATCCTTCAGTCATACCTTCAATATCCAGTGGGATAGCACATTCAACACCATATCCCGTTAGCTTGGTGCCGCAAAAAGTATTATTGAAATTGTACACTTAAGTGGTCAAAGCTCATGATAACCCATCAAACGAAAAGCAGAACACACGAACCTTCATAAATGCGTTCACAAGCTGAAACATGACAACCCCTTATTCAACTGCCGCCAGCAATCCTTATTGGGTTCATCGAATGCGATTTTATGACTTAAAGAGGCATACTTATAACTATGGAGATATATAAGTATGTATATAGTTATGCTGATAGATACACGTATTTTTGTCAATTTCTATGAATGCCAACGAAAGTAAACCAAGTTACCCAAATTCACTCTGACTTCATTTCGCTCATTTCAAATTACTCACAGTCAACAACGAAGCAAATAAACTCCATAAATTTAGGCGCTTTAACCGCAATTTTCAGTGTCGACTAAATAACAATCAAAAAGCCAAAAGTACCAAAGGGATAACGAAAGCGCAAGAGAGAGAGAGAGAGAGTGAGAGACGGTGTTGGTAGTCTTTTTACACGCTGGACACAACTTTTGCGAACGAAGTGAAGTAGAAATTCGCAGGTTATCTCGTGCTATAAAACATAAACATTAATTGTATACATCATAGCACAGAACGGCAAAGCAACAACATAACCATAAGCACAAGCAACAACAATGGGAAAACAACAACAATAACTCGCTTGTGTGTAACATGAGTGGCAGTGTTGAGTTGAGCCGCAGTTCAATAAACACAAACAAAGTAGCGCATAAAATCTGATTATCCAGCCTTCCTGTCATTGCCGCCTTCAAGGGTAACAAAATCAACAAAGGCGCACACCACACACACACACAAGCATACGAATTTAAGCGCAACACAATATTGAAACAACAATAACACCACCACCATTTGTAGCGTTTATATTGAAAACGACGCGGGTATGCACAGTCATATCCTGCGCTATCTGCCTCTGCTTCATTATTTTGACCCGTCTCTCCCCGCGCTAACAGCCTTTCTGCTGTCTTCTGAAGTATTTTACCGGCATGCAATTTGCTCTCACTTTGTTGATATACTGGCGCTCTGAGCGGCGTGACCGAAATTGGATTTGCTAAACCGAAAATACGCCGGCCGACCAAAAAGCATAGGAAGCCGACCATGAGTGTATTTGTCAAACAGAGAACTATTCTCACTTATAAAAGAGAAGCGTATGTCCTGTATATAAAATAATTAGATCGTAGAGTCAAGAGAGCATAAAATATGTTAGCAACTAACATAGGCAGGGACTGTTGGTGAACAGCAACGGCCTACGTGTCCTCAGGCATGACGAAAAGTTTTCGTAACTCACTTCATATTCTGCTCGTACTCTTATTACCGTGCTATATAATATATAGGCTCAACAATTAATGAGCATACTCTTAAAACAAGCTGCCTCATTCGAAGAAGACTTATATGTGCTTAAGGAAGATTACAATAAATTATCAATCATATTATATTGAGAAAAATGTAAAAAAAGATTTCTTCTACATATGTGAATTATACCACACTTTTAGAAGCTCCTTCCCATACATAACTTGCACAAAATTACTTCAATTCGTTAGTCCAGAAGGAAACGTCGGAGATCCTATACAATATATAAGTTAACAATAGGATATAGATGCCATAGAAACTAAATTACCAAAATCAAGGTATTTTATGAAATCTTTTGTGTTTGTGCGAAGTAAACGTTTTTTTTTTGTTTTAGGATAAGAATCAACATTACATTCATTTAAACAATCTAAAATATTATTTTTTTACTTCTATAAACTGTGTTGAATTTGTCATAGTTCTCTCTTTTGTCGCCCATAAGGGACCAAAACAGTTCCCCCAATATTTCTCACAATGTGTGTTTTGTATCGACCTTTCCCTTTTTTATGTTTCCGCTCCATCGAATAATAACAAAATATCAGCGCATTTTAGAAATTGAAAATTTTAATTTATCCGTGCCAAATTAGTAATTTCATCCACTTTTCGAAATGGAAGAAATTATTGACATATTGGCGTAAGCAAAAAAGCAAAATAAAATTGCAAATTATTTTTCATAAGCCAACTTCAAACAAAACGTACTAACTGTATCTAAAACGCACCAATCGTGTGTAACGGAGGTAAATGCAGTTAAACGAAATATACCGTACCGTTTAAAACTAAACTAATAGTCGCACAGTGGAGCGATAAATCTATGGTATTTGCTTGGAACGTAGGATTTATCATGAAGAAGTGCTTCCATAACTTAATATAAATCCATCCCGGTCAAAACAAGAAAAAAATGGTGAATCTCATTAAAATTCACATCAACTTAGCACCTCCAGCGATCAACATTCTGTAAAGCTCTTCTCAGAATTGAACACCATACTATTAACAATCTTTACACTTCACGAATAGATTTTTCGAATTGAATGAACTGATTCTGCTTGGGATTGGGATTCCTCTGCACTCCCCTTGAGTACTAATGTCTTAAATTCAGATTACTGCTCTTGGTTAGCCTTTATCAGGTTGCGCTGGGAGTTTATTAGGAGTCGAAGATTTTGCTATACAGTAAGAAGGTTAGTAAACACTACTTAATACACGAAACTAGTTACATACTTACATAATGAAATACTCTTTCTTTTCTAGCTCAATTGTAAAATGTACTAGTACTCATTCAACCTCGTAATAGTAATCGAAGTTTTTAATCGATTTACTTCCAAGCTCGCTAAAGTCATCAGCATCTTTAAATTATTCTTTTTTCTTTTCGAGTGAAGATTATTTGTTTGGGCATCGATTCTCCCCACATTCAAATTTGATTGAATAGTTGACAGCCGTATTTGCATTGGATGACAGTTAGAGCACACAAATTGTTGGAAAAATCATCACCTATAAAGTGCTTCAACGGGATTCCAATTGAATTGCGAAATGACTGAAAATGATTGAGTACACCAAAGGATTAATTAACAATTCATATTTACGATATTGGTGAGCGGTTCAATATTTGAAAATGCCAAATTGTATTTCAAAACCAGACCATAACTTTGTGCGTATATCGAAGGTAATTGACAGTTATTTGAATGTTGGCTTATACGTTATAAATTATTTAGATATCTGCTTCAACGTATAGCATGGTTAGTCCAGTGGTTAGATTAATGCTTTTGATTGAGAATTTTATGAAAAAAATATAAAGTGATTCAATGACATACATACAAGTATATTTATAAAGATGTCGAATTACGAGTATATGATATAATACATAACAAACAAAAACCAGTTAGGAAGCGATGACCAACGTGTGACCATACATGCTCCATCGAGTTTCCACGCAGTTTTATGAAGATAACTCACACACTGATATCTCAAGTGTTGACCGAAATACACAAGTATATAAAACAAATACTTTAAAAGTATCGGGTTAAAGGTCAATGTGGAGAAATCCTCTATTCTGGTATGCAGAGCATCAGGAAGAATCAAGAATATTGAAAAAAATGCTTTCATGATTGAGGGTAAGCCAATTAAAACGGTCAACCAAATTAAATATCTGGGAACAATAATCAGGAACAAAGCTTCGACAGACCTTGCCACAGCCAACGCAGTCAACAATGCCAGACAAGCTCTCGGTGCAACTAAATCTGTGCTATACAAAGCGAAAGTAGACTCCTGGTTTGCTAAAGCCAGGCTTTTTGACAGCTTGGTTACCTCCACTCTGCTATACAGTGTTCAAACCTGGGGTCCTGGAAATTTCCAGGAAATTGATAAAGTACAAGCAGATTATTTCAAGCAAATCTTCAACCTGCCCTAGAATACGCCTGGATACATCATTAGACTGGAATTGGGACTAACAAGACTATCTACTCGTGCACTAAGCCTCATATGGACTTTGATAATTAAGGTGCTAAATATGAGAGAATCTTCCTGGCCTAAAATGTATTATATATAAAGAAATTAATATCAATAACCTAAACCAGGGAAATAAGAAAAATTAGATTGCCACTCTTACCAAGATTTTTGCAGATCAAGGACTCGGGGACATGTTCAAGGACTTGAACCCCAAATCTAGCGAGAAAACTAAAGACGTATTCTTAGCCAACTATGAAAAATTTCTAAGAGAAGCTGTCTACTCCCAATACCTCAGATCGACCTCACTACAAGTCCAATCTGTCAGATCTCTCAACTTATCTACTCCCAAATATCTAAGATTAAGAGTTTCTCTGGAACTAACCAGGCTAATTTTACAACTCAAACTGGCGAATAAATATTATTGCTTCATAACGTGCCATAGCATAAGCTACTTGTATAAACTCAATACTAATATTCCATGTGAAGCGTGTGGGCAACAAAGCACAGAAACAATACTGCACTTATTAATTGAGTGCCAGAGATATGAGCAAACTAGAATAAAGTACTTTCAGGACCTAATGGCAGAGTTCAACGAACCTACTATTATCTTTGCGATACTGAATATCCAAAATAAAGCTAATCTAATGAGAATCTACAACTACATGAAAGATGCCCTCGCACTGAGAAATATGAATTAATACGGATTCGCTCACCAGACTAAAATTAGATAAATAATCTATCATTCTTGTCGTTAAGTTAAATTATATTAAACTAAAGTTAAAAAAAAAAAAATTTTATACTGTACATGTTAGAACTATGACTGGTATGAAACTGAATATACCTATATAGAGACAAATTTGATGCTGTAAATTCTAAATATTTTAAAATTTTTTATTGTATATGCATTTTATTGAACAGATAATTTATATAAATTTTACCTAACCTCTTGCTATGAAAGAGTAATGTACTCTTATAAACAATATATTATCATATTTTTTATATTATTATATAAAGGGTGACCAAAGAGTTTCATTAACTTACTTCACATATTGACCGATATATACAGCATATGCAATCCGACATAGCATTCATTGTGTACCGAATTTGTTTAAAATTGGTAGGGCCTTTCTTAAGATAAGCGGTTTCACCTAAAGGTTGGCGGTGTCACGCCCATTGTATAATGTTTACACCAATTATAAAGGCCTCAAACACGATCTTGGTTGTGAAATTTAATAGTAAATAATTTAAATTGTGAATTAGCGCTCTTTTAGTAGTTTTCAACAGAACCGTTATATATTAGGTAAAGTAAAAAGTTCGTTCGGTTTTTTATTGATTTTTCAAAAGATGATAACTTTGTGTACATTTGTCCGATTTAAGTCAAATATGCGCCGTTTTGTTCGTAAACTTGTTGCCACCGAGATGCTAACTTCTCACCATTAAGCGCACCATTGACAGGAAAAGATGGTAATCACTTGGTGCCAGGTCCGGACTATAGGATGGGTGCATTAGAACTTCTCTTCCGAGCTCCAGGAGCTTCTGGCGAGTCACCAAAGACGTATGTGGCCTGGCGTTGTCCTGATGGAACACAATTCGGCCTCTGTTGATCAAAGATGGCCTCTTCTGGATGAGTGCTGCCTTCAAGCGATCCAGTTGTTGGCAGTAGAGGGCCGAACTGAGCCGTTTGCGCTCGATGTTGTCATAAGTGACCCATTTTTCATCGCCAGTCACAATCCGCTTCAGAAACGGGTCGATTTTGTTGCGATTCTGCAGCGATTTGCAGATGGAAATTCAGTCCATCATGTTTTTTGCGTTAGTTCGTGTGACACCCAAACAGCGAGCTCCTTTTTGCTTATCTTTAGTTCCTCAGCAGTTAAATAAGTGCTCACGTGACAGTCTGTTTCCACTATTTCCATGATTTTATCGCAATTTTCGACGACAGGCCTCCCGACGCGTGGTGCATCTTTGACATCGAAATTACCGGAACGGAACCTAGCAAATCACTTTTGTGCTACACGTTCGTTTACAGTATCGGGCCCATAAACTAAATTAATGTTTTTAGCCGCTTTGGCTGCTTTTTCGCTTTGGTCGAAGAAAAATTGTAAAATATAGCGAATTTTCTCTTTGTTGGTGTCCATCTTTGACGTGCGCTCACAACGAACTGAATAAATCAGTCGAAAAACTGTCAAAGACAAACTTTTAGCGCGAATAAACACGTTTTCAGCGCCGTATAGTATGACACAATGCGACACGTAACACTAGTACTATGGACAATAACGCCATCTCTTAAATAAAAACCGAACGAACTTTTTACTTGAAATAATATTATATTATATGTAACAATGGATGGGCCAGAGAAACTTCTTCTCAACAAATTTGGATGATTCAGCTTTAGTGAATTGTGAGATATATACTTTCAAATTATTAAGTGTCCTCGGCATGTCCTTTATTTAGGAACTTAGGTCAAAAATATGAAAAAAATTTATTTATTAATAATTTTTTCTGTCAGTAAATACTTTAATTTTATACAAATCAAAAAAGAACTTGACAGAATTAAAAAAAACAAATTGTAATTTTATAAGTAATGGATGTTTGTGTTGATCCAGTTACAACTGAAGCTCCTTTCGATGACCATCACTAATCGTTGGAGATTAATCTATAATAAATAGGATAAACTAAAAATTAGTTTTTTTAATAGCGAATCTAGTGAATAATATGGCAGCCTCAGCAGAATTTTTTGCAGAATTTCAGGAAAGACACAACAATTATTTGTTTATAAAAAATCGAAAAAATCGTTCGGGTTTAACGGTATAAATCTTGCAACTTTCAAGGAACAAGGTCATTGTTCGACGAAATTGTGAATGGATTACAATCAAATTTGTATCTTATTAACTTATTTTAAAGGTCATAGACCCACTTAGTTATATTATAATATTTTATTTCCTGCCAGAGAAAATTATTTTAAAATCACCCTCAAATGAGATATACCATAATTGATATAAACTCAACCGAAGAGGCTAAATTTAATAAATATATTGAGTTGATGTGAAAAACGTCAACAAAAGGATTGGATTTCATTATATAATTTTATTTTTAAGAAACCGTATTCAGTTAATTTCATTTAAATATCACATATTTTGACCTAAACAGTTTAAAGTATTACCACCTGATAATGATCGGAAATCATTACATAGAATATACGGGGGTAATGGAATGTCTGATGACTTACTTTTAACATTGTTCAGATATACTTGAGAATTTTTTTTTTTAATATTATAAATATGGATAAACATATGTATATATGGAGTAAAGTTAATCGGATGTTTCAAAATACTGAATATATATTATATGGGGGCTGAGGCAAGTTTTCACCCAATTTTATCCACTTTAAGCATAAAGATACACTGTCATTAAAAAAACTCGCTCTTTCAATTTAATTAAGACAACTCACATTGACCGAGAATTGCGGTATAAACTTAACTGGAAGTTCGAAAATCTTTATAATAGGTATATGGGGGCTAAGGGAAGTATTGATCATTTTTGACGCAAGGGATTACAAGAAACACTTTCCCCGAATTTCAAAAATATATCTCACCGATTGACCGTTGTGTGGGGACTTTAACAGTTGTAGTCCGATTTTGAAAAAGTTTAGTTTCGAGATGTCATACCTCAAAGGCACTATTTATGCAAAGTTTCTTCTGAACATATCTATTGGTGCTTGATTTGCAAACTGGAAAGTGAAAGAATCATATGGTATTTAAAATTGTGATACACTTACCGTACCGAATTTGGTTGAAATTGGTCGAGAGGTCTGTAGATATGTGATTTCACCTAAATGTCCAATTTTGATTCCGGCTCCTCCAAAGCCCTCATGTATTATCTTGGGTGTAAAATTTAATGACCCTGGCGCATTTACTTATTGATTTATGACGCTTTTAGTAGTTTTTAACAGAACCGTTATATTGTCAGACGGACGGACGGACAAACAGACAGTATGTCGGATTTCATGTCCTTAAAAATACATATGCTGGACTCTCATCTGGATTTCTTTCCGGCAAATTTGGGGGCTATAAGTGACGAGACGTTTCATCAGGGCATTTCCTTAATGAAGAAGCACCATCAAAAAACATGGAGCGCAGGAATGATTATTATTAGAGACTTAAAAAATACTTTCCTGAAGCTAAATATTAGCAAAAACCAAAAGTATTTTTTCTAGCAGTATTTCTTTAAGCAATATTTTCTCTTAATGTAGCAGATGTTTGTAATTTTTAAGAAAGTGTGTATACGTTCTGATGCCAAAGAAAACCTGATGTGGAATTTTTCTTCATTCACATATTATTGCTTAGTGGCTCTAGTACATTCAAAATTTCATATGAGTTTTCATGTGACAAAAAAAGTTTTTTTTTTGTTAACTAGTGTAATTAAAATTAAGATGATATCAATCACGAATGTGGTGAAAGTGAAATTTTGCTATGACGTAAGTTATTTGTTCATCACTATGAAGCCCAAATATTTAAATTTAACTGAATATACATTCATATATATATTCATATATATATATATAAAAATGTACTTCCTAAACAGATTCACCTATTTTATAAGCGTGTATGTTTGTATTTATGTTGAGATTCATTTGTTTCCTGACATGTACAGCATTTATTGTAAAAATCCACCGATAGAGGATATATCTGTACATTTTTACGACAGAATGAATCACACAATTGTGCCATCATCATCACTCATAAGTCCTTACATCATGCGTTTATCCTGTGAGCCCAAAATCCATTGTAGCTTACTAACCTACTTAAAGCGCCGCGAAAGCTCACACACTCATACAAAGTAATAAACAAATTTCATTGACGTGAGAACATAAAAAAGTGTATTACTACAAAGGACTGAGCGAAAACACAAGAACTCAAATCATTGACATAAAACCTTCTATTGAGCAGAGGAATGATAATAAATTCCGTAGTTGCTCCATACAATATTCTACACACCGTTCGTGATGCCAAAAAGACATAAAATCAGAATCATTGATTCAGAGGTGAGTTGGAGCAGCAGGCACATTAATCTGGGGACACTACAGAGCGTTATTTCGAACCAGGCAGTAGTGGAATGAATAAAATTTGGAGTTTGATAAAGTTATCCAAGCGAGCGCGTAAGAAGGTAAGGTTTCATATGGGGTGGCGTCTAATTAAATAACTCGCACTCCTAAACATGAATTTGGAAGCCGGAATGTACTTCTACTTTTTTCCAAGCAGCGATAATATGGGTTGTAGTACTCTCGGCAAAGCTTGCTAGTAAATTTAAGGCCAAATCTCTTTTCTTCAATACTAGTATCCACTAAAGGTACTCGTCAAATACGATTAATGTAGTTCAAATGGAAAAGAGGAGCATAAATATATCCGTGATAAAAATACAAACATAATTCCCGCCATTGGGAACGATGACAAAGTTTCAACTTTAAACGAAGAAGAAGTATAAAAGTATACAAGTTTTATTCGTCTGATAGGAGATATCATGAGAGATGGGGCTCTTATCTCTCGTTTTTGCCTAATTAGATTAAATAAGTCAGAAATGGCAGAATTCAGAACATAACATGCGGATTTTGAAACATTAAAAGCTTATAGTTGACCTGCTGATTGCGTGATTTTCTTTCTGTTTTCAGATTCAGTGATTAAAAGTTTTCCGAAACTTCTAGACCGATCGACTTGAAATTTTCAAATACCTTTCTAACTATATGGACTACTACCCTAATGATCGAATAATACATATTGGTCTGAATCTTTAAGTGAGATGGAAAGTCAAAATGGATGGAAATTATATTGCGTATATTGGAAGATCTGGACTGATCGCATTAACATTTGGCATTGTTGCAACATGTTTTCACACAATTTTGCGAAAATAATTCACACTGAACAACATTTTGATCATAAAGTCTGCTGGA